TGTAGACTCCTATGTCTACAGCCTTCATTTTTTAAATAGGATGAATAATGAAAGCCTATGCATAGTTGGGTATGTGCATTGGGTATATTGATGCAAAGGTAAAGGGACCCCTGACCGTTAGGTCCAGATGAAGACAACTCTGGGTTTGCGGCGCTCATCTCACTTTACTGGCCGAGGGAGCTGGCGTACAGCTTCCAGGTCATGTGGCCAGCATGACTAAGCCGCTTCTGGCAAACCAGAGCAGTGCACGGAAACACTGTTTACCTTCCCACTAGAGCGGTACCTATTTATCTACTTGCACTTTGATGTGCTTTTGAACTGCTACGTTGGCAGGAGCAGGGACCGATTAACGGGAGCTCACCCCGTCACGGGGATTCGAACTGCCGACCTTCTGATTGGCAAGCCCTAGGGCTCTGTGGTTTAGACCTATGTACCTATGTGCATATAAGGCACAGTGGGTGCACCCTGATTCCCTCCATCCCTATCTGCAACCCCACCCGCTCACAAACAGGAATGCCTAAACAGAGCTCTGGGCTATGACTGACCTATGGGGCTGTCCAAAAACTACATGATTCTTCCATTGACAACTGATATATTTTTTGGCTTTAATGCTGATTGACAGCTGAGAACTGGAATTACCCAAGAAAGCCTAAGAGTCACAAATTCACTCCCTGCTTTTCAAAGTGGAGAAATGAAAGGTGTGAAAGTAAATGATTTTCTAATGTAGCTAGAGGCATTCACTTGAAACAATTTGATTTCTTTCCTAGAACATACTAGTTCTGAAAGCTAAACTAGCATCACGGAAACGATAAAGCATATATGGTACTGATGATAGATGCTATATGTAGAATACAGACGCACAATAAACTTGCTAAGTTCAGTGCTATCTTCTTGTATCTTTAATGCTGCAATAAGTAGCAGATGGCATGATGGACTCCCATTGCTCACCTGAACTCTGGGCAGCCATGCCACTGCTGCTTACCTGAAGAAAGAGGTGGAGGGGTGAGGTGGTGGCGAGTACAGCGTGGAGAAGAGGCACTGGCGGGGCCAATCTGGTGCTCCCACTGGTGCATTTGTCACTGCCTTGTCCCACCCCTCTGCCTCCCAGTAAGCAGCAGTGACACAAGCAACTGGAGGTCAGGTGAGCTGCAGGTCCCCACCACACTCTCTGCTCCTGGCCACAATCCCACACAGACACCTTGGAATGAAACCCATTGAATACAGTGGGGCATACTTCATTCTGAATAGACACACATGGCATTCCACTATAAAATATCTATACCATAATAGCATACCTCCTTCTGGTTATATTCCATGTTATGAGATTTATGAAGCTCTGGCACAGTGGTTCAGGCGAAGTTATTTTAATGACTTTAGCCCACACCTGTGGGTTTCTTTCTTCCCTTCCCTCCAGAACTACTGTAGCTGTGATTTGGTTCCGATTGATTGAACTGATGAAGCTGAATATCCGTTTGATTTGACGTAATGTTTCTTTATAAATATTCCTTTATTAATAGCCTGGACATGATCATTTAACTGAATTTTTCAGTTGTTTTTACACAACCGAAAATAAAGCCTGAAAGTGGCAGAAATCTGTTTTTAATTCAGCTTTTGGTACAAATATCTTTAAAATCTGTGGTTTCTGTTCTCTAGCGTGAAGCCATTGACTATACATGGTGGTGCCTATTCAAATTATTATTATTATTGTTTACTTGGGGCTGCACCTCTGCTCACTGCTTGCCACTGCTTTTCATTCCCACCCCATGCAACTACTAAGCTCCCTTTCCCCCTTTGCAACCTTATTTATGAAGGTATTTCTCTCGTCTACTCTGCAGGCTTTCTTTGCACCCACTTTCATCTTCATTCCAATGTCCATGCCTCCTCCTCCTTTTCTGCAGGCCTGCTTGCACACAGACCACACCCCTGGTCATCTCCTGTCCCTTCCCATTAGAAATGAGGCAGGCATCATCCTTGCTAAGTTTCGGTTTTATTTCAGGTGGCCTTTGCATTGTGAATGTTGTTCTCATGTTTTACTCTACCTTTTAAATCTTGTCTGTTGTGTGCTGTATTTTTTCTGTAAGCTGCTTTGAGATGAAAACTGAAAAGAAGGGCATATATTTCTTACATAAATAAATAAAACCCAATATTGCATGCGCACAATAAGACTTCCTCTTCCTTGCTTTCCCCTTGCAGTCTCTGACACATCCTTAAATATGCTCAGGAAGGTCTCCCAACCCTCAGGAGCAGATTTGGGGGAAACACAGGCGCTATATGCCCCACTGCCTCAGATATTTTTGCAAATCACTATGTGTGTCTTTATGAAAATGCGACTTACTTTAAGGCATCAGAGATAGCAATCTTCCTGTTGTGTTATGATTCCCTGTCTCAAGGCAAAAGAGAAGTGAATTAAGATGAGCAAGTGTCTGGCCTTACAGTTGATTATTGTTTTTCAATCCTTTTCAACCTTTTGTTCACCCTCTTAGCATGTGAACAAAACAGAATGAAGTAAGTTAAGAGGTTATTTGAAAAATAACCAGAACGACAAAGAAACCACAGATAGAGATATAGATAGATAGAGATATAGATAGATGATAGATAGATAGATAGATAGATGATAGATAGATAGATAGATGATAGATAGATAGATAGATAGATAGATAGATAGATAGATAGATAGATAGATAGATAGATATAGATAGATAGATGATAGATAGATAGATGATAGATAAAAGGTAAAGGTACCCCTGCCCGTACGGGCCAGTCTTGACAGACTCTAGGGTTGTGCGCCCATCTCACTCAAGAGGCCGGGGGCCAGCGCTGTCTGGAGACACTTCCAGGTCACGTGGCCAGCGTGACATCGCTGCTCTGGCGAGCCAGAGCCGCACACAGAAACGCCGTTACCTTCCCGCTAGTAAGCGGTCCCTATTTATCTACTTGCACCCAGGGGTGCTTTCGAACTGCTAGGTTGGCAGGCGCTGGGACCGAACAACGGGAGCGCACCCCGCCGCGGGGATTCGAACCGCCGACCTTTCGATCGGCAAGCCCTAGGCGCTGAGGCTTTTACCCACAGCGCCACCCGCGTCCCATTAGATGATAGATAGATAGATGATATAGATAGATGATAGATAGATAGATAGAGATAGATGATAGATAGATAGATAGATAGATAGATGATAGATAGATAGATAGATAGATAGATGATAGATAGATAGATAGATAGATAGAGAGAGAGATAGATGATAGATAGATAGATAGATAGATAGATAGATAGATAGATAGATAGATAGATAGATGATAGATAGATGATAGATATAGATAGATAGTGATAGATAGATAGATAGATAGATAGATAGATAGATAGATAGATAGATAGATAGATAGATAGATAGATAGATAGATAGATAGATAGATAGATATAGATAGATAGATAGCAACCTACTGTCAAGGTAGCAACCTACTGTCATATGGATAGATAAGCAGGTAGGGAAGTGGAGGAGACCTCTCTTAAACCATCTTACCCACAAATTAAGCTACACACAGTTTGTAGGAAGCTCAGTTTCTCTTCACTTCATAAACTACATCATAGCCTCTCCCACAAGAGCAGTCTTAAGTGCCTTCTTTTTTAAAAAAAAAAAATCAATGGGAAAGTGTTGACAAGTGTTGTCATGCAGAAATTAATTCTTTCAGCAAAATCTTCCATGGCTTAGAGTGATTTATACAGTGTAAAATATTTGGCAAAACTGAAATCCATTTATCCTGTTTAAACAATGGAACAAAAGTATGAATGCAAACATTCCATTCAGCTCAGCCGCTTGGTTACTGGCTTTAAAACCAAGATATTCACAACTGCAACATCTAGTTTAAGGTCCATTAAGCTGACACATAAAAAGTTTCCACAAGTGCTTGAAAATTTTCTCAATTAGTAGGTGGAGTCTCCTGCTCACCAGAAAGCTTTGGGTGGTATCCAGTGTTAGCTTCTGTGGCAATTCACTTGTCAGTTGCCATATCTTTTGATGAAGTGGAACCTCCTCCTTGAAAGCGTACATCTTAAATCTGTATTTGGGTACATTACAGACCAAAACATTTTTCATGCTCCTCATGAAGTGGACTCTACCCAATGAAAACGTATGCCATAAGTGTACAATGCTAGCTGTAGTTAAGTCTAATGAGATGCATAGATTATTGTCTGGGAGCTATCATGTTGGGACTGGGACACAGCTATAACATTCCCTGAGCCCTTGGCCTCAAGAGAACAAACTCGTTCCCGGAAAGCCAGGAACTCATTGCACCAAAGATACACCCACAACTTCTGTCCAATAGGCATGTGACAGACAGCGCAAAACACTCTCAGAGCCTTGCTAGCTTTCCACTTGCATAACTGTTTTTGTAGTTTATTGAGTTACTTTAGAAGGAACCTAGTTGTTGTTTTTTTAGGTCAAAGAGGGGCAGAGTAAACCAATGAGCACATGATGACCATGTCACTGCCATGCATGTCATCAGTGCACATTTTGACACGCTTTCAGGGTCATATGTGGATCATTGCTGCGCAGTACATCTTATGTATATCTGTAGGGAAAGCATTAATCACCATCACAGTTACAACATGTGGTAGAGCAGTTCGGAGCATTTAAAGGTGCAGATGTAGACCTAACCTCACTATTTGAAGAGGATCACCCCCTTCTTGTTATTAGGAATCTGTGAACTGTGTCTCCATTTCCCACTCCCCACCTCACTGGAAGATTTTAAAGATGCTAAGCAAAATAAATTATATATTGAAGATAGAGTAAAATAATATTTTTAATATAAAAGAAAGGGGATAGATAATTGAGGGAATTCTTCTTTCTTTCTTTCTTTCTTTCTTTCTTTCTTTCTTTCTTTCTTTCTTTCTCTCTCTCTCTCTCTCTCTCTCTCTCTCTCTTTTTCTCTCTCTCCCCCCCCTCGGCACCCAGAGGCTGAGTAGAATTTTTTTGAGACCCCTCTGCCTGAGAGGCTGCATTCTCAGCCACTCAAACAGAAGCAGTTCTCAGAAACAGGATGATGAATGATTCAATGAGAAAGGCAGGAGGCCGCAGAAGGGGGGCGTTTCAACTGGTGCTGAACAGACTGTACAAAGAAACTGGCTGGGATTTGGGGTAAGCTCAGGCATCTGGCAGAATTTTGGTGAAAGAGACAAAGAACTTTATATCCATAGATCTTTGTACAAAGAGTGTTGAGAAATTTGGCTTCCTGATCTGCTCACATAAATAATGAATAATGGCAGATACCGGTGTTATATGAGGGAAAGAGGCCTTTTTTTTTAGACATGGGGAAGCTGGAATGTTTCTTGTTTCCCATGACACTGACATTCAGTCCTTACTTTTGCCTTCCAGTTCCCCCACCTCTCCCTGCTTGAAATATTGCTTAACTGGGTTTAATGGGTTTAATGTGAAATCTTGAGCAAGCCAAGATGTGAGTGGGATCAGACTAATAGCATTTAATAGCTTCTATATTATTTGCAATCTAAAAATATAATCAGTATTCAAAGGCTTCTGAATGTGTGTTCAGATAAGATGCAAACGCTTCAAAATTGAATGTTAAAAGTGCTCAGATTAACTCTATATAGTCAGATCTTTCTCTTTAAAATAAAATGGCACTGGGAGAGTGAATATCATAGATACAACATTAATAGTACAATCTAATAATAATAATAATAATAATAATAATAATAATAATAATAATAATAATAATTTATTTGTACCCTGCCCACCAGGCTGAGTTTCCTAGGCTTGTTTACTCTGCAGAAGTAAGCTAAATTGAGTTTAACTGGATTTACTCTCAAGCAAATGTGCCTAGGATTACAGCCTAAAAGAAAATGTGACAAAACAGGCACATGAATATCACTGATCATAAACTGGGATTTTAAAAATTTGCTATGCATTTGTGTAATTAAAACTTAAAAAAGAAATCTAACCACTTTCAGTTAGTTCCTACATGCATATTCTTTTCCCAGTGTCTGCAACATGAAGTGATAGGATGTAATCAGGGGTCAGCAAACTTTTTCAGCAGGGAGCCGGTCCACTGTCCCTCAGACCTTGTTGGGGGCTGGACTATATTTTGAAAAAATAAAATGAACAAATTCCTATGCCCCACAAATAACCCAGAGATGCATTTCAAATAAAAGGGCACATTCTATTCATGTAACAACACTCTGATTCCTGGACCATCCGCGGGCCGCATTTAGAAGGCGATTGGGCCAGATCCAGCCCCTGGGCCTTAGTTTGCCTACCCATGGCATGTATGAATGAAACTGCTATCATAGATCAGACACCACAGCCGTCATGGCGTTCTGTATTTGTACCACACCATCTCAAATGCAATACTTTTCAGTGCAATCCATTCATGAGTTCAGCTGTTTGTCAGTAAATTATTGTATGGTGCAGACCTAATTAAAAGAGGAAATAATTAATTATGATGTGTGACTTCAGCAATCAAGGACTTATGGTGGTTTCCCAGACACATTTTGCCAGAAGAAATGTCCAAATCGCAAACTCAGGTGATTAAAAAGAAGCAAACCCTGATATCAGGAGACTTTATATAATACCACTTTTCATTCCCCCCCCCCCCCGAATTTAGCAGTTCAAAGAAGCAGTATTCAAAGCTTTAGTTTACAGGTGGACTAGATGAAGAAGACCATGGAGGAAAGATAACAAACTCTTGGGGAAATAACTTAAAATGTTAATGGAATGATTGGGACCAATGTTTAGGAATTTTCTTGGGTCTATTTTATTAGTGGCCAATAAAATTTGGAGTTTAGAATTGGGTGCTTGGGCTCAATCCAATACTATTAAGACATGCACATTATAACCGAGACATGCTTTCTCCATAAAACTTGGTACTGCATGAAGAATTACCGTAATTTGCACATCTCCCTGATGGGCAAATTTGCGTTGCCAAATGTACAGCTTGCACATTTCCATGAGGGAAATAAAGGAACTCCATCTTTATAAGATACTTAGATTATGGAAGCAGGGTGCAACTATCACTTTAATATAATGTGTTATATTATACTAGGCTGCTCTGAATTAACACTTCCAAATCTAAAAAACAAGAGGCAAATAAACTAAACACTTGTGGAATCTTTCTTTTCTTTCTTTCTTTCTTTCTTTTCTTTCTCTCTTTCTTTCTCTCTTTCTCTCTCTCTTTCTTGTTCAAACATACTTCTAATTATCCTTCTGAAATTACATTGTGATATCTCAGAGGCATTTTAAATGGATTCTGAGAAACCCCCATTTTTTTATTTGCCTTTCTTTTATCTTTTCAGTTTTTAATGACAACATTGTTATCTTTCTTGTTATCAATGCATACAGCCTGAGAGTAGCTTGCTAGTAATCTTTCCTTTCTTCCCCAGATTTTGATGCTTGGTTTCGTTAGAGCACAGCCCCCAGTTATCTAATTAATTTGAGCAATCCTTTCTACATCCGTTCCATTTTTTAAATCAGCCTGCCATGTCACAATTACTCAGTTTGAATAATGCAAGTTTCATCTCTCAGGATTCCGTGATTTCTATTATATAGTTGGCCACCCACATTAGTTGTTTCCCAATCAAATGAATAATATTTTTAAGGACTGGATCGTCCCCATACCTTGCCCATAGATGATCCAAGAACTGAGACTAGATTGCCAGTTGTTTTGAGCAGACACATCTAGGAATGCACTACCATAAATCACTTTTATACCATTGCTTTATTTGTCTCTTAAAAATATTCACTTACTTCATGTGGTTTTGCTCGGGGCTATCTAACAGGAAAGTAACTTTATTTATCCAACTTGTGCAAAATACCATTAAACATTTCACCATATAATGAAAAATTAACCACAATTTCTTAAGTCAATATGCTTCTCTGTATAACTGGCTATGCATGAATCAATTGTGAACAAAGTTCATTGGTTAGAGATGGTTTTGAAGAAAGTTTTAAAGGGATTGAAAATTTAGGAACTGAAAATGTAATAGAAATAATCTTTATCAAGTGTATGCATTTCATAACTATGGGGGGTGGGGTGGCGATGGCGATGGCGGGGGCAACCACTGAAGCTGGAACAGTTCTGAATGTCTGTGAACACCAGCCTGAAGACCCTAATTGCAGCCTATTAGAAATAATGAGATTTGCATGGCAGAAGCCAGAGTATTACAAGGATAAAAGGGGGAAATCACAATGCAAAAGGTTATTACAAACATATACTGCCGAAAAGTGCAAAAGACCCATCAATTGGGGCCTCATTACTGAAGGCTGACCCATGGGTAAAAGTGTCACACCCAGTTCAGAGACTTTCCCATGAGGTTTGGCTGTAGAAGTTACAAAATATAAGGACATAGCTGTGGAAACTTCTAAACTAATGAGAGTTGAAAGTCGTTTGAAATATCCCAATGGCCTCACAGATGGGATGCTTATTAAGGTATCTGGATCAGACTCTGTTTTTGTCTAACAGACTCTTGCAAAGCTGTGCCGAGGCGTAGGCAACAGTCCGTGAAGGTGTCTCTCTGCTTTCCAAAGCAGCTATGGCCAATCTGAATGAATTCAGAATCAAAACCAATACGCTCACCCAGTTTCTTTTTTGTTTTGTTTACAGACATGTTTGTGGGATAGCGCAAGTGAGACAGTCAACTGTGATTACTTCATCAACGTTGGCCTCGCTGCTACCTACGTGACTATCTGCTTGAGTGCGCTGGTAGCGAGCCAACTCCAAATGTAGGTCTTGAAAGTCCAAAGAAAAGCGCTTTATATGTATGGGTTCCATGAGGGCTTCAGAAAACAATTAAGCCATTTCTTTCCTCTTTTTTTAATAACAAAAGGCCAGCCACTGGGATGTGGGATGGACTCAGTAATTAAAACACCATCCAAGAAGATAAATGTGGGCCTTTTTCTCAATTTAAAATAATTTTGAAACCTGTGGTATGATAGCAACTGTTTGTTGAACCTTAGATGAAGTATTAGTTATGGGTGTGTGTGAAAATTAAACCATTAAACATTTAACACTGATACTTTTTGTTATTGGTCTCAAGGTTTGTGGTGTACTGTGAAGACTTGTGGGTAGTGTAGTATTATCATAAGGGGGAGATTGTAGGAGTTGAAATGATGGGATATTTGTGAGAGATGTCTTTGCAATGATACAATTTTAATGGCATTCAAAACCATTATTATTGATCAGATTTTGTACACATATGGACATATTTAGTCACTGATAAAGGATGAATTTTATTCAGTATGCATTAAAAGCCTGAATTTTTTAAATTTGCAAGTTCTGAAACAGTATGAGAACCAAAACGGCTATCCTTTAAAATTCACACTTACCTGAATTTTGTGATGTTTACAAAAATGCATATATTGGGAGAAAGTGTGCATAGAAATGGATGTTAGTGAAAATAACATACAAAACTGCATGATATCCAGGGAAATTGCTTGCCGAAAATGTGTGCATCAGTTAAAAAAAAATTAATTAGGAAATAGTCACACTAAAATGCTGATGAATTTTCATGAGGATTTGTTTTTTTTCGAATTTGCTGCAAAATGTGGAGAAATGAGAAAATGAGAGAAGAAAAAATTATTTTCATCCCTACACTGAAGTAAGCTGTATGAAGAATGCAACCTTAACAATAAACCATAATGTCAGAGAATTTTAGGAAATCACACTTTTGTACCATGTTTGTTTAGTTTGGATGTTTGAATGGGTCTTTCCATGTTGATTTTTTAAAAATTCTGCCGGATAGCCATCTTACAAAAGTTTCAGGTGCCACAACCCTGGATATAATCAGTTGCCTGGATTATATAATCGGGCAACTGACATATTGCCTGATTATATAATTTGAGCGACATATTTTATATGCAATATAGCCTTTTATAGAAGTGTAAATGTGAATTAAAAGGTTTGTGCTTATCCATCTATTGAAAGGAGTGGGTTTCTAAAAGCTGATCCTGAGTTATATTCAGAAACTTGTCAGTTTCATCCAGAGTGAGCTGTTTTATGAAACAGTGCTAACTTGCTTCCTGACAACATAGCAAAAATAATGAAAACTTTGATTGATTGATTTTTAAGTAGCAAAATGTAGCAAGTTAGAAGTTTTGTATTGTGTTTTAATTAATAATCTGATTTCGATTCATCAGTTAAATTTAAATGTACATATTGCCAACATACTAATAATATCAGTCTTATGGAGAATATTTTAGGACTAGAGTAATTTCCCTTAAAATGTGAAATAATTTACAAATTGCTAAATGAAATTAACTGCTCATTGTAGAAGGAAAGAGTCTCTTTAATGTTTTCTCTTTGATCATTTTGGGAATTGGGAATAGACATCATTACAGTAAGTTGTTGTTGTCCGACTCTTCGTGACCCCATGGACCAGAGCACGCCAGGCACTCCTGTCTTCCACTGCCTCCCGCAGTTTGGTCAGACTCATGTTTGTAGCTTCGAGAACACTGTCCAACCATCTCGTCCTCTGTTGTCCCCTTCTCCTTGTGCCCTCCATCTTTCCCAGCATCAGGGTCTTCTCTTCTCATGAGGTGGCCAAAGTATTGGAGCCTCGGCTTCACGATCTGTCCTTCCAGTGAGCATTACAGTAACATACCAGGCTAAAAATGGGCTAAAAATCAATGTCAGTGATGTTTCTGAGACCAATTTGAAGTGCTTGCTTTAACCTTCAAAACCCTTAAGGACTTGAGACCAGGTTACCTGGAAAACTGCCTTCTTCTTCCACATATAGCTAGCAGAACATTAAGAGCCTAACACTTTCTCTATGGTCTTTTAGGTAGCAAGTGAAAACCTTTTAATGACCCTGACCTTTTAATAATCTTTTGTACAGCTCGTCACTTTTAAAGAAAGTTTTCTAACTTATGCTTCAGGTTATAATCTGAGCTGCTAATTGGTTTTATTTTTCTGCTGCTAGAAAGGAAACTTTTTCTGTCTGCATTTTACTGTTTTTATCTTGAACTTTAATCATAGCCATGCATTTTAATATAGTATTTAATAATAATAATAACAACATTAGAAGCCTCCTGATACTAGGCTACCTTCAAATGTCTATGGGAAGTTGTATAATTATTTATTTCTTTGACATCTGAAGGGAGGCCATTTCACAGGCGGCCACTGAAGTTTGAAAAATAAATAAATAAAATATGCCTACTGAGCACTTCATTTGCATAGTTCATATAGTTGGAAGGAAACCCACAGTCTTTCTGTCCTGAAATATTACCTAATTCAAATTACAAACTGGATAGAAAAGCTGTCTTTAACATGTAGGAAGGAACTAGCATACTATGTGGGCTACACAATGGTATGTTGCTCAGTCATGGCACCAAAGATTAAGGGGAAGGGCTGTAATTCAGTGGCAGAGAACCTGCTTTGTACCCAGAAGGTTACAGGTTCAATTCCTAGCATCTCCATGTAGCAATGTTCCCCAAAAGTATTATAGACAATGTTGTACTAAAGTGACCATTGTTCTGACTTTAAGGCATTCTCCTATGGAGACAAATTTTAATCTGCAGTTAATTTGACTAATTTAGGTTGATTAAATACTTAATGGTACAATCCTGTGTTAGAAGCAAATCTCACTGAGTTCAAGGGGACTTACTCACAGGCAAGTGTGTATAGGATTATGCCTTTAGGTGATTAACATACTGGTTAAATTAATTAAATTGATTTATTAGCTCTAGAGTCAACCCTTTGTTGTTGACTCCATCATCATCATCATCATCATCATTATTATTTATATCTATCCCACCACTCTGGGCAGCTTCCAATACATATAAAAACATAATAAAATAGCAAACATTACTAGTAACGATCTGATCCAAAATAAAAAAGTCACAATAACTTTAAAATAAACAACTTATATCAAATAAGGCAATGTTCAATAATCCACTAAAATCTAATAGTAAACAGTAAAATTGAACATCAGCAAATAATAATTGAAGAGTTTACATTTATCAATATATAACAGACTTGCTTCAACAATATTGCACTAAGTTCACTACCACACAACTGAGAATGACCTTTGGGTAGTGCTTTGTATTCAAAAGATATCGTCAGCATAAACAAGATACCAGAACTTATTTTTGGTGGCTCCTCAACAGCTTCAGAACTTGCTTTCTCTCTAGACTAATCAACTCCAAACCCAAAGGCAAAGATTTGCACAATCTTTTCAATGTCTAATGTGCTTGGAATTTAGGTTAATTTAGGGCCAACATGGAGAGAAATGTCTAAACTTTGGGAAACCGCAAGGGTGGGAAACTGCCTTTATATGTCCAGGTGAGAGAATGAAGGTCAAGTTGATGAGACCCAGCCGAACACTCCTGCTGTGTGCAAGTCAAAAGCTCTACACTGCAGCAGTCAGTGATTACTTTCTAAGACAGTGACATATTGGACCTCATGGTCCAGCCAACCAAAATGATGGATCCTTGCAAATATTACTGCTGCAATCATGAAAGACCACCCCTCCCCTGCGCCAGTGGTTAACATGTTGTCTGCCTAATGTATGAATTGTCTCTCTGTGTGCAAAGCACTTTGCCATTCCTCTCACCCTCACAATAGCCTTTGGAAGGAGGAAAGTCATCATTATTATTCAGCTGTACAGCTGAAGTGTACAGCCCTACACCAGCAAGATAAAGGTTTTTCTAAGACCACGTGATGAATCCTGGAGTGAACTGGGATGTGAACTCCGGCCTCCCACCAAGTTAGTATATATTGGGTCACACTGGCTTTTTAAGTATTTGAGTTAGTGGAGGAATGTTTTGTTTGTAGTGCGTTTGCCAGTTTGAGGCATATCCTTTCCGGGCTTCCGGTCCCACCTGCCTTAATGGAAGCAGCCCCCACAACAGCGGGGGATCATCGGTGAATGAAAAACAGGGATGAGAGAGAGTAAATCATCCTTGCAACTTCCCCCCAGGGATGGGGGGAATGGGCTTCACTCGCAGTTCATCTTGGTTCCTGGCTCTCGCTTTGGCATGGAATGTGGGAGGCAGAAAGGCACAGAGTGCTAAAGCACTTTGCCTGGCAAAAACCCTCCTATGCCACCATTAAGAAGCAGAGGTTCTCCATTTAATTGGATCCTTAACTGGCTTTAAAGAACTGGCGTGTGATGGGAAAGGGTTGAAACAATATACTGCCAAATATACCAGCTACATGGATCAAAGGTTTGAATTGAGATAATATTTTCTTTGGCGTGAAAGTTGTTTGGGAGGAGGAAGCCCACGGTTTGTTTATTCCAAGTTTCTTTTATATATTTATGATTTGGCAACCCCCTCCGGAATATAGGATAAAAATATATTTACTAGTGAGGAAGGGACATTGGAGTAATATTGATATTAACAAGCAAAAATGGAAACTGTGTGATCTGAAATGAAGAAAGTAGGAGGAGGGGAAGATCATGTATGACTGTTGGAAAGACAGAGTAATTTCCTCACCTACGTTTGAAAACAACAGACAAGGAAAAAGAGACTGAGATTTTTGTGTGCTACTGACAGAGTGTAATCTAAGATGAAGCTTAATTGGGCCATAAATCTCTTGCTGGAAGGAAAAGAATTTGGGGGTTGTGATAAGAACGCTGCAGAGATTCTGGGAGTTAGAAAGGAGTATTAAATCTTCAACACATTCAAAAACTGCCTATCTTTTCCTAAGCTGAGGGGAAAATGGTGAAGATCTGCAACATGTTTTACTAGTGAGAAAGAATGGTTTATAGCAGACTGTCGCTTGT